ACAGCAACTAGAAGGATGTGCAGCTATGACATACAACTATCTACTGGGGCTTTGGGGGATAAAAAAAGGAGGAGGATTGGCAATAGATGTTAGCTCAGAGCCGGTCTTCCCCCGCAAAAAGAGGAGGATTAGCATGGATGTTAGCTCAGGGATGATCTTCCTCACAAAACAATAAATAAATAAATAAAAAGAAAAAAAAGATAACATATGGAAAGTGAAAAGACAACTCTCGGAATGAAAGAAAATATTTGTAAATCACGGATCAGATAAGAAATTTGTATCTAGAATATACAAAGAACTTTTACAATTCAATAATAAAAAGACAACCCAATTTTAAAGTGGGCAAAAGATCTGAGTAGACATTTCTCAAAGAATATATGGAAGTATCCAAAAAGCACATGAAAAGATGCTCGAGATCATTAGTTTTTAGGAAAATGCAAATGAAAACCACAATGAGATACCACTTCAACCCAGTAGGATGGCTATAATAAAACAGACAGACAAGAACAAGCGTTGGCAAGGATGTAGAGAATTTTGAACTATCATACAGACGAGCCACTCATGAATTCCTAACCTACAGAAACTGAGATATAATAAATGGTTGCTGATGTCTTAAGCCAGTAAATTTTGGGGGTGATTTGTTACGCAGCAATAGATAACTAACACAGTAATCTTAAACACAACTATATCACCAAATATATTAAATGTAAATGAAAATAAACTCTGGAGTGAAAGGAAAATACTGACAGGCTAGATGAAAAACAAGATCCTATTATATACTCTTTATTAGAAACACACTTTAAATATAAAATCATAGATGGATTTAGACTAAAGAAACGGAGAAGATGTACAATGCAGACACTAACCAAAAGTCAAAAAAGCTAGTGTGGCCGTATTAATATCAGAGTCAACTTTAGATAAGTGTATAACAAGAGTGGCCGGCCCAGCGGCACAAGCGGTTAAGTGCGCGCACTCCACTGCGGTGGCCCGGGGTTTTGTGGGTTCAGATCCTGGGCACGCACCGACGCACTGCTTGTCGAGCCATGCTGTGGCGGCGTCACGTATAAAGTAGAGGAAGATGGGCACGGATGTTAGCCCAGGGCCAGTCTTCCTCAGCAAAAAAGAGGAGGATTGGCACCGGATGTTTGCTCAGGGCTGATCTTCCTCACGAAAAAAAAAAAAGGAGTATAACAAGAGTTAAAAAGGGACCGTTCATAATTTAAGATGGGTTAATTAGGAACGTACAATAATCCTAAACATGCATGCACCTAATAACATCCTCAAAAGCGTCAAGCAAAAGTTGACAGAACTAAAAGGAGAAGTAGACAAACCCATAATCACAGTTGGAAATTTTAACATGCTTCATGCAGTAACTGATACAACAAGCAAAAAATATATATATCAGAAAGAATATAGATTTGAACAATACAATTAATCAACTTGAACTAACTGACACATATAGAACACTACATCCAACAACCACAGAATATACATTCTCTTCAAGTGTATATGGCCCGTTTAGATAGCTTCTGGTTTCCAGTTCTACCCGTAGGAGCTTTTGCCACTCAGTCTTAACAACAAGTAAAAAGCTGAACAGAGGTGAGGATACAGGGTAAACCACTGCCTCCAAGATTGGAGAGACAGAGAGCCAAACACAGGCAATTACAACTTTCCAGAGCAGATACTCACCAGCAGACCCTGCTGCAGAACCAGCGCCCAGGTAGGAAAACCGGAACTGTAATTGACGCAGCTCAGTGCGGACAACTCTGAGAGTTAAAAACTCCAGGGGGACCCAGTCATAGGAAGACATCCACAATTTTGTGGTTTACCTCCAGGACCTCAAGCAGGTTCCCACAGTAAATATTAGAGAGAATCCCCTTGTGCTTCTGGCAGGGAAAGTGGGAAAAGGACCATTTTGAAATTCATCAGAGCGTTCTGTTCTTCTTAACAAAGACTGCCCCGAGGAAAGACTAGTTGACCAGAACCTGACCTGCTTGGGTATTATCAGAGCATAACTGACCAGGGTGTGGGGGAAGGGAAATATACAATCCCTACCCACACTAGCACCGGATCCACTTAAAAGAGAGAAAAAAATTAAAAACACTTGTGAAGTTCACAGTCTAGAGGCATAAGCTTACTAAAAGACTGAGACCTAATCATGGGACTACAGAATGCTTCCCACCCCCTACCCCCTACCTCACCACCAGATCACTAAAGGCCTCTTCAGTTTCTCTTCCCCAGTACATCATGTCCAGCTATCAAGAAAAAATTACAAGGCATACCAAAAGGCAAGAAACACAATTCAAAGAGACAGAGCAAGCATCAGAGCCAGACATGGTAGGAGTGTTGGAATTATCAGACCAGGAATTTAAAGCAACTATGATTAAGGGCTCTAATGGATAAAGTAGACAGCAAGCAAGAGAAGATGAGCAAGGCAAGCAGACAGATGGAAAATCTTAAGAAAGAACCAAAGAGAAACACTAGAGATGAAAAACACTGTAATAAAAATGAAGAATGCCTTTGATGGGCTTACTAAGTAGGCACAGCTGAGGAAAGAATCTCTGAGATTGAGGCTATCTCAATAGAAACCTCCAGAACTGAAAAAGCAAAGAGAACAAAGACTGAAAAAAAAAAAAAAAAAGAAGAAGAAGAACAGAATGTCCAAGGACTGTAGGACAACTACAGAAAGTCTAACATGCATAGTGGAAATGCCAGAAGTAAGAGAGAAAGGAACAGAAGAAATATTGGAAACAATGACTGAGAATTTCCCCCAAATTAATGTCAGACACCAAACTACAGATCCAGGAAGCTCAGAGAACACCAAGCAGGATAAATATGAAAAAAAAAAAAAAAAAGACACCTAGGCATATCATATTCAAATCATGAAAAAAATCACAGATAAAGGAAAAGTCCCAAAAGAAGCCAGAGAAAAAAAGACACCTTACCTACAGAGGAACAAAGGTAAGAATTACATCTGACTTCTCTCCAGAAACCATGCAAACAAGAAGAGAGTGAAGTTGAGCATTTTTTCGTATAGTTAAGGACTGTTTGCCTTTGTTTCTCTGTGAACTGTCTGTTTACTTCTTTTACACATTTGAAACATTGAGCTTTTAGTCTTTTTCTTATATATTAAGGAGATAAACGTTTCGTGTGTCATGTAAGTTGTAAACAAAAATTTTCTCTGAGATTGTCACACTTTTACTTTGCTTATGGAATCATCTTTTCTAAAGTAATTTCTAAAGCTGCTTAAGTAGTTTTATTTATAAATTTTATTTTATTGCTGCTCGATTTCCCCCAGCATTTTATTATGAAAATTTTCAAACACATAGAAAAATTGAAAGAAATGTACAGTGAACACTCATGTATCTACCACTTAGATTCTCTTACTAACATTTTACCAGACTCATCTTATCTCTATCTGCTCAATCCCTCCCTCTATCCATCCATGAATTCATCTCACTTTTCAATGCATTACAGGGTAAGTTGCAGACACTTTCCCCAAAGAATTCAGCCTGCGTGTCATTAACCACAGTTCAATATTTGTTAGTGATTCTTTTTGCTGTTGTTTTTAATTTTCGGTATTAGTTAGATTCTCCCACTCCCAAGATGGGAAGGAATTCATTCCTGTGTGCTTCTAGTTGTTGTGTTTCCCTTTTACATGGGGATTTCTGATCCATTTGGAGTTTATGCAGGTGTATGGTGTGACGAATGGATCCAATTATATATACTTAAGGGGTCTCTATTTTTAAAATTATATATATACTTACATAAAAATTATATATTATATAAAATTATGTATATAACATAGATTATATATGTATATGTACTTATAAAAATATATATACACATAAATACACTTAGGAGGGTCTCTATTTTAAAAATTATTTTTATTGCGATATAATTCACATATCATAAAATTCACCCTTTAAATGTGTACAATTCAGTGGTTTTTAGGATATTCACAAAGTTTTGCAACCATCGCCACTACAATTATGTATATAAGTTTTCTTTTTCCCCAAATGGCCATCTAGTTGACTCAGCGCCACATATTAAAAACTCCATCTTCCTGTCAGAGGTTTGAGAGGCTGAGTTGTCACTAAATGTCCAGGTGTTCGGGGGTCCAGTTCTGTTCCATCGCCCGCTTGTCCATCTGTTCTCACGGGTGGCACATCTTTGCTAACATCAACAGCCCCGGCCCAGGACTGGGGGGTGGGAGATGAGAATCAAGCGGCTACGCCTCTTCAACGCCTTTATTTCCCGAATTTCGCATTGTACTTGCTCGCCCACAGAGATGCTAACTTCACTCCCCAGCGACTGAGAGAAAACCAGTTGGGCACGAAAAACACCAGGAAAGTCTGAGAAGGAGAGGTACAAGGGATCAGGATGGGCCCCATCTTTGGGTGCCTCATCTCCTCTCCTGTCTCCCCAGCCCAGGGTGGGGGCCCTCCCCTCCTCTGGATGTCTCCCCCCTTGAGGACTAGTGGACCGGGGCCAGGGAATGTTACATCCGGCTCTCTGCCCATGATTGCCCCGTGAAGGCACCTGCAAAGTGTGGCTGAGGCACCCAGGGGTGTGGGAGGTGAGGCCAAGGGTGTCCAGCGCCTGCCGAGCAAAGTCTTCGGCATTCACTCCCCAGTGAGAGTTTTGGGTCATGTTCGTGGAGACCATGTAGGGGCTCACTGTCTGCAGGAAGGAAGAGGGTAAAGGAGAGAAGTCCCCTCCTATCCCAGCCTACGCTCCCAGGCCCTCTCTGAGGATCCCAGAGGCCCACCCTCTCGCTGCGGTCCCACGTGGGTCTCCGAGCGCCTGCCCCTGAGACCACGCCCCTAGATAGCACGTCCCAAGAGACCAAGCCCCCAGGAGACCAAGCCCTCGGGAGACCACGCCTCCTGCAGACCACGCCCCGGTGACCACGCCCCATAGGCGGCACGCCCCGGGAGGCCACCCCCCAGGTGCCACGCCCCTGGTGGACCACGCCCCCGAGACCACGCCCACCATGCAAACCCAGGGCTCTGAGCGCTGCTCAACTCCAGCTCTTCGGAAGCACTGTACTCTCTCAGACAGGTCGCGGCTGCTAGGAGCCTCCACTGTCCCTTAGCTCCTACCTCCTGTCCGAGCCCCTCCCCTTCTGAGCTGCCACTGTCGCCACGTCCCTTATGAGCCCCGCCCCCGCGGAGTCAGGTACCTGCACGTCGACCCCCTGAGAGAAGTACTCTGCGCCCACCGCCATGGAGAAGCTTCGCACAAAGGCCTGTGGAGGAAGGAGAGGGAGGGTCCCAGGACCCAGAGCCTTCCCTGTGCAGAACACTCCATGGCTCCTAGGCCCCCGGGGCTCGCCGCCCAAGTCCTCACCTTAACACCTGAACGCTTCCGTGTTCTAAGCCCTCCCTCTGTTCCCATACACCCACTCTCCATTCCAGCCAGGCCAGTCTCTGAATTCCCTGACTCCTTCCCACCTCACGTGTTGTCTTGACCCCTAGCCTCCCTTTCTCTTAAAAACAAACAAAAATTCTGGCTTGCCTACTGGATTGTGCCCCAGATGTCTGTTTGACATTTTCATAGCCCCAGACTCAGGTGGCACATCTTACACACACACACACACACACACACACACACAGAGGACTTTTCCCCCATAACTTTCAGTGCCAGAATAAAGGGCTACAGCAGGCATTTCAGCATGGCAGGACAGCCCTCGCCCCAGGTCTGTGGGTCCAGGTACCTTAGTGGCCGCGTACACTGCTAAAAGTGGACAAGGTCTCGCTTCAGATCCTGAAGAGATGTTGATGATGATGCCTTTGCCCCTAGGGGAGAAAGCATTAGTTGGAAGGTGGTCACTGCCAGTGGGAGAGAGGGTCCAGGTGACTCCCCCACCGCCAACCCTTAGCCCAAGCCCTTATCTGAGAAACATCAGGGGGACAGGGAAGAGTTGGAACCGTGGGTGGGACCGCTGGGGAATGGAGAAGGCCTGGGGGTTGGATGGGGAGGATCCAGAGTGGAAGAGAAAGAGATTGACTCTCACCTGGTGACCATTTGGGGCAGGACAATTCCAGTCATCTGTAGAGAAGAGTGGGGAGGACCCATCATTCCCCTTTACAATCCTTTCACCCACCCAGAGACTCCCACCCCCTCCTCAAGTTCACTCCTCTCCCCCTGCCTTCCCTCAGGGAATACTCCCCTAGCGTCTTCTCCACACCAGACCCAGCACTGGGGGATGCTGGGGACCACCCAGAGTAGTCAGAGTTACACTGACCTCGGACCCAGTCCCTCCTAGCCCAGCCTCACCTGGACCACAGACAGTATGTTGCAGTTTATAATATCCAGGAGTCTCTGGAGAAGAAAACGAAACAAATCACTCCTTCCCTTTACCAGCCCTGCCATAACTCCCACCTGTCTTATTTCCTAGCTTAGTTTTCTTTTAACATGGAACACATTTTTTTTAAAGTAGCACCTACTAAAATTTAAAGTGCACACACCCTTTGACCCATCAACTCCACTTCCGCAAATTTATTCTTTTCCAGGATACTCACACATGTGGGAAGCAATATGTCCAGAGATATTCGTTGCAACCCTATTTCTAGTCACACATAATAGGAAACATCCCTAATGCTCATCAATGGCAGAATGACTAAATGAATACAGTGTAGCCAATGGATGGATCGTTGTGCCACAAGTAAAAAGAATGGGTCAGTGATTTATTCTGATTAGAATGATCCACAAGACATATGCCTACTTGTAAAAGGTGAAGTGCAGAATAGTAGACTGCCTGCCATCTGGATTAAAAAATATACATACCTGCTTCCATAAGCATAAAGAAAAAAAAATACCTCGCACATTTTTAATTGGGCGTCACTTTTGGGGAATGGGATTGGACGGTGAAGGGAAATTTTCACCTTCATTTCATAAACTTCTCCCTTTGGATTTTTTTTCTTTTTTCCTGAGAAAGATTCACCCTGAGCTAACATCCATGCCAATCTTCCTCTATTTTGTATGTGGGTCAGCACCACAGCATGGCTGCCAATGAGTGGTGTAGGTCCACGCCCGGGATCCAAACCTGGGTTGCCGAAGCAGAGCCTGCCAAACCTAACCACTAGGCAACAGGGCCAGCCCCCTCAATTTCTTTAACAGATAGAACACTAGTCAGGTATTCTACTTCTTCTTGTATTTGGACGTTTTCTAGGAAATGGCTCAAGTAATCTAAAATTTCAAATTTTTGCCATTAAGTCTCAGTAGGACCTTCTTATATTTTTAATATCTCCAGTGACAGCCTCATTTTCATGTCTGACATTAGTCATCTGTGCCTTCTCTCTCTCTTTTCTTGATCCACGTTATAGAATTTTGTCAATTTTATTAGACTTTCAGCTCAGATTTTTGACTTTCTAAATCCTCTATTTTGAAAGTTTGTATTCTATTGCATTAATTCTTGCTCTTATCCTTCTTATTTCCATCTTTTTGTTCTTTGATGTTCTTTTTCTAACCTCCTCAGATGAGTACTTAAATAACTGATTTTCAACTTTCTTTTTTCAATGCATGCACTTAAGGGCATATATTTTCCTTGCATCCCGCAAATTTTGATGTGTACTCTTTTATTATCATTCAGTTCAAAATATTTCCTAGCTTTTATTGTTATTTGTGACCAAGAGATTTTTCTATAAGTGTATTATTTGATTTCCAAACACGTAGGTGTCTCCCAATTTTTAAAATAATTTATATCTAGCTTAATTTCACTTTGGAAAGAGAACAAACTGTATCATTTGGAGCCTCTGAAATTTGTTGAAAATTGCTTTATGGTCCAGCAAATGATCAATTTTGTGAAATGTTCCATAGGTTCAAGAAAATAATTCATAATCTGCATTTGCTGTGTGTTGTTAAGATTTTCCCTGTGACTTTAGTTTTCAGCATTTTACTCGGACATGCCTGATGTGGTTTTGTTTTTAAACTGCTTGGGGGTCATAGTGATTCTGGAATTTGATTGGTGCTTGATATCTTTTGTCAGGAGTGCACAATATTTAGCTATTAGGATTTTAAACCTCACTTCATCCCCATTTTCCCTCTTCTCTCCTCTGGGACTCCAGTTACACACATTAGGCATTTTCACAAAACCCTACATATCTCTTTTCCCTTTCTATATTTTGTATCCTTTTGCCTTTCCGTGCAAGTGCCAGATATCTACTTCTGTCCTCACTTTCAGTTCACCTATTCTCTTTTCAACTGTGTCTGTTTCATTATTAAATCTATCCATAAAGTTGCTTTTTGATAATCATGTTTTTCAATCCTAGAATTTGCATTTTTAAAATTTCCAGTTTTCTGAGTAAATTCTCAATTATGATTTTTAATATGTTGACTATATTAATCATAGTTATTTCAACAAATATTTGGAAAGAAGAAGGAAAGGATGGCCCATACACAGCAAAAAATAATAATTTCATGGAAACCATCTCTGAGAAAACCCAGACATTGAAATTACTAGTCAACTATGTTTAGTCAACTGTCTTAAATATACTCCATGAACTAAAGGAAACTATAGAAAATGAACTAATAGAAATCAAGAAAGTGGTATATGAACAAAATGAGAATATCAAGCAAGAGAGAGCAATTATAAAAAAGAACCAAACAGGGCCAGCCCTGTGGCTTAGCGGTTAAGTGCGTGCACTCCGCTACTGGCGGCCCAGGGTTCGGATCCCGGGCACGCACTGATGCACCGCTTCTCCGGCCATGCTGAGGCCGTGTCCCACATACAGCAACCAGAAGGATGTGCAACTATGACATACAACTATCTACTGGGGCTTTGGGGAAAAAAACGGAGGAGGATTGGCAATAGATGTCAGCTCAGAGCTGGTCTTCCTCAGCAAAAAGAGGAGGATTAGCATGGATGTTAGCTCAGGGCTGATCTTCCTCACAAAAATAAATAAATAAATACAAATAGCTTAAAAAAAAAAAAAAAGAACCAAACAGAAATTCTGCAGCTGAAAGTTCAATAACTGAAATGAAAAATTTACTAGGGGGGTTCAACAGCATACTTGAGCAAGTGGGAAAAAAGATCAGCATTGTTGAAGATAAGACAAGTGAAAGTATCCAGCCTGAAGAGCAAAAAAGAAAAAAAAGAAGGAGAAAAATGAACAAAGCCTGAGGAATCTGGGGGACATCAAACATACTAGTCTACATGTCACAGAGTCTCTAGAAAGGAGGGAGAAGAGAGAGAAAAGAGAAGAAATAAATTTGAAGAAATAAAGACTGAAAACTTCTCAAATCCAATGAAACATACATACCCAAGAAGCCTAACAAACACCAAGTAGGATAAACTCAAGGAGATCTGCACCATGACACATTATGGTCAAATTCTCAAAACCCAAAGACAACGAGAATTTTGAAAGCAGCAAGAGAGAAGCAACTCATCATGAACAAATGATTCTTAATAGGATTAATAGCTGATTTCACATCAGAAACCATGGAGGCCAGAAAGCAGTGGGATAGCATATTTAAAGTCCTAAAAACAAAAAACCTTTCAACCAAGAATTCTATGTCCAGCAAAACTATCCTTCAAGAATGAGGGAAAAAGTAAGACATTCCTATATAAACAAAGGGTAAGGGATATCATTACCAGTAGACCTGCCCTACAAGAAATGCTAAAGGGAGTCTTTCAGGCTGAAATGCAAAAACACTAGAAAATAATCAAAGCCATAAGAAGAAATAAAGAAACAGATTAAGATAACTACATAGATAAATAGACAAGCCAGCACTATTTTACTTTTGGTTTGTAACGCCTGTTTTCTCTATATGATTTAAAAGGCAAATGTATAAAGCAATCATTATAAATTTATGTTATCTATGTTAATGGACACACAATGTACGAAGATGTGACCTTGTGCATCTTGTACGTGTAATATGACAATAATAGTATAAACGAGGAGGGAAGATATGTATAGGAGCAGAGTGTTTGTATACAACTGAAAATAAGTTGGTATTATTAAAACTAGTTTGTTATAAGTTTAAGATGTTAACTGTAATACCCTAGGTAACCACTAAGAAACTTTAAAAATATACAGAAAAGGAAAGAAGAAGGAAATCAAAATGGTACACTCTAAAAATTCAACTAAATAAAAAAAGTTATCAGGAATAGAGGGGAAAAATATGACATACAGAAAACAAATAGCTGAATGGCAGAGGTAAATCCTTCCTTACCAGTACTTTTTACAAATGGATTAAACCCTTCTATTAAAAGACAGAACTTGGCAGTTTGAATTTAAAAACATCATCTAACTGTATGCTGTCTACAAGGAATTCACTTTGGATACGAAGACATAAAGATATTGAAAATAAGAAGACAGAAAAAGATATCCTGTGCAAATAGTGATGAAAAGAGAGCTGAGGTGGCTATAAATTTGTCAGACAATATAGACATTAAGTTTAAAAAAGATTACAAAAGACAAAGAAAGGCATTATATTTTTAAAAAGTTAAATTCAGCAAGATGATATAACAATTATAAACATATACAGACATAACAACAGAGCCCCAAAATATATGAAGCAAAACACCATATACAAAAAAACTCAAAATGGATCAAAGCTCTAAATATAAGGGCTAAAATTATAAAACTCTTGAAAGAAAATGCAGCAGAAAAGCTTCAAGACATGAGGTTGGCAATGATTTCTTGGATATGACACCAAAAGCACAAGCAACAAAAGAAAAATAGATAAACTGTACTTCATCAAAATTAAAACCTTTTGTACATTAAAAGATACCATCAACAGGGGGCCGGCTCGGTGGCGCAAGCAGTTAAGTGAGCGCGCTCCGCTGCGGTGGCCTGGGGTTCGCTGGTTCGGATCCCGGGCGCGCACCGATGCGCCACTTGTCAAGCCGTGCTGTAGCGGCGTCCCATATAAAGTAGAGGAAGATGGCATGGATGTTAGCCCAGGGCCAGTCTTCCTCAGCAAAAAGGCTCAGGGCCAATCTTCCTCGCACACAAATAAAAGATACAATCAACAGAGTGAAAAGACAACTCACAAAATGGCAGAAAATATTTGCAAATCATACTTTTGATAATGGATTAATATACATATTACATAAAGAACTTCTGCAATTCTTAAATACCAATGGATCAAAGAAAAAAATCACAAAGGAAATTTTAAAAATACTTAGAGACAAATACAAATGAAAGTGAAAACACAGCACAGCAAAACTTAGGGCATGCAGGGAAAGTAGTGCTAAGGGGAAATTTTATAGCTGTAAATGCTTCCATTAAAAAAGAAAAAATAGGGGCTGGCCCCATGGCTTAGTTGTGAAGTGCGCATGCTCCGCTACTGGCGGCCCAGGTTCGGATCCCAGGCGC